CCAGAGAGGACCTCCGGCCCCTCAATCTCGCCGACCTGCTCCAGTTCTCCAGCCAAGTGGCCCAGGGCATGGCCTTCCTTGCATCAAAGAATGTGAGTACTAATGGGGCAGCCATGCCCCCGGGGGAAACACCAGTGCAGCCAGCAGGGGCCTGCTGTCCTGTCCGCACAGGGCTCACGAGGTTTTTAGATGGGGCAGCCAAACCCAAGCAAGCTGCTGAAAATTGGCCTTTCTCCTCCACCTGCTGGGTGCAGACACGCTGGGCTGTGGTGACTGGTGTTTCCTTCGGGGCCTGTGCCTCCCATGGGTTTTGGGCAGGGCAGCTGTCCAGGGGGAAGCCAGGGCTGTAGGAGTTGGTCCCAATATTCCCCCCCCAGCTTTTACATGAGGTCAGGAACCTTGATGCAGAGCTCTCTTGCACTGGCAGCTTTCCACTGTGACAGGGAACTGAAAGTGGCCGTTGAGCTATCTGCCAGAGCTGGCTCAGTTAGAGTATCTGAGAGCAACTGTGTGATGGTTTCAGATGGGGACGCCCTGTGAACAGCCTCTGCTTCTGGGTCTGCCCCCACAGGGAAAATGAAGGCCCATGACTTACAGGGCATGAAAGGCCAAAATGTTTTAGCACTGCAAGTGAAGTGGTGGAAAGGAGAGAGCCCCTACTCCTTGTCCAGGACACAGGGCCTCTTCCACGTGCCTTACGATCAATACACGTTGCCCTTGCTTTTGTAAGAGCTGTTTTGGTGGCAGCCCCACGCTGCAGGGAAAGGAGCTGGTAGTGCCGAGGGACAGGAGCTGGGTCTCAGCTGTGCTCTCTTCTCCCCAGTGCATCCACCGTGACTTGGCAGCCAGGAACGTGCTCGTATCAGACGGACGAGTAGCCAAGATTTGTGACTTTGGCCTGGCCCGTGACATCATGAATGACTCAAACTACGTTGTCAAAGGCAATGTAAGTAATTGAAATGGGGACAGGAGGAGGTACGAGGGTGGCTGCAACTGGAGCGGGAAGGACAGGCTACGGCACAAGCTGCCAGCTTGCCCCAGTCTGCAGGACTCTGCTTTTCCAGGCCCGGCTGCCTGTGAAGTGGATGGCCCCAGAGAGCATCTTTGACTGCATTTACACAGTGCAGAGCGATGTGTGGTCATATGGCATCCTTCTCTGGGAGATCTTCTCACTTGGTAAGTAACAGGGAAGCTTGCAAGCCTCCCTCGTTTTCCATAGCTTACCACTAACTTAATTTCTCTGCAGAGAAGTTTTCCAGAAAAAAGGAAAGTTGGCAAAAATCTAGGATATATCAAAGCTATAAAACACTGCGTTCAGATTCCAGAGGGATGATTTGCTCTAACTCAGAACTCCCTGAGATGGAGCAGCACTGGCTCAGTCAATTCTGCAGGCTACATCTTACCACCCCCATGGCTAGGGTGTCGGAGCCTCTGAGCTGAGCGCCACCTCTGTTACTGTCACAGGTAAAAGTCCGTATCCTGGCATGGTGGTGAACAGCAAGTTCTACAGCATGGTGAAGCAGGGATACCAGATGGCGAGGCCTGACTTCGCTCCCTTGGAAATGTGAGTAGATGCATGCAACATCTGAAAGGGTGAAAGGGGGACTAGAGGTGCTTTATGGGGAGCGGGTGATGAGACAGCACAGGGACCTTGGTCACAGAGCTGCTGCTCCTCCCGGACAAGCCCTGGGTTTGACGTGTCTGTCCGTGAGGTTCCTCCCTGCTCATGTAGAACAAGACCTGGGGCAGTCGGTCATGATGCTCAGCCCGATATCCCCCATTTCTGGACAGGAAGGTGGCTGAGCTCACATAATCTCTACCTTTCTGAGTGTGGCAGCTTTTTATTTTTTTCAGTCAGTTGCTTTTAACTCTAGCCTGTAAGAAGACAAGCCTGAGTAGCTTACAGGAAGGGAAGCAAGTTTACACTAAAGGAAAAATACTGAGGCATAAAGCCTCTTGCAGATAGATGAGGAGACTGGAAAAGTTTTCTCTGCTCCAGTGCTCTCCATCCCCTGGAGCACTTCCCATGCACCAACCACGGGTTTTACAGACAGGAAAACAGAACAAAGATAAGGGGCTGCTCAGTATTGTGTGCCTGAAATACAAAGCAAATCACCCTGCTATGCTGCAGTGAGTAGCCCGGGGGTGCAGACTCTTCAGCAGCATTGCAACAGTTCTGTTCCTCTTGGGCTGTGCAGGTACACCATCATGCAAGCGTGCTGGAGCCTGGAGCCCACACAAAGACCTACCTTTGACCAAATCTGCTGCTTTATTCAGAAAGAACTGGAAATGCACAAGGAACAGGTGAGAGCCTTTGGGGAGGGACTTTCTGCCTGCAGCAACATAGCTTCTGCACAGATTTCTGTGGTGACATCCCCTACGTTTATCTGATGGGAGTAGCTTAGTAACAGTGAAAACAGAGGCATCCAGATTTCCCCAGGGACTGAAACGCATTTTTCTTTTTTTGCTTTCAAGGACCAAACAAACCTCCCATCCACTGCTGAGGAGGACAGCGGCTGCGACACCTCTGGCTGCTGCGAGGAGTCCTGTGAACAAGAGCAGAGCGGCCAGCCCCTCCTTAAGAGTAACAACTACCAGTTCTGTTAGCTGGTACCACTGCCCAGGATGGATCCCTGCTCTCCCCGTTCTGCAGAGCGCATGATTCCGCACAGGTGCCTTCTGCTTTGGCTCTCCCCTCTGTGCTTTCTGAAGTATGAGTGTTACTGACTCCCTCGCTGAAAGAACGGTGCTGGGATGATTCAAACCTAAGACTTACCGTGGGGTCTCGAAAGTCCTGTCTGCAGCATGCCTATCCTAATAACTCTACAAGGTACAGAGGTCCCTGTCACCTGCCCCACCACCACCCCTGAAGGGGATTAGGGGGTGGTTTTGTTTTTAAATACCAGTTGCAGCCTACAAAGACATTTCCAAAAGCCGCTCGCGTGACTGTACCTTGTGTCTTATGAGGACATCTTGAAGTAAATCCTACGGTGGGAACTGCCTCACGCCAGAGGCAGCCCTCTTTCAGGGTGGTCCTGCTCTCTTCCCCTTGTCTGACCCTGGATGTTGCAGAGCGTTTAGATACAGGTAAAGCCTCTACTAAGCATTAAGTACGTATTAACCTCTTGCTTTCCTCATACAATCTACCTCTCTGCAGCTCCTGCAGAGATTATTTGGGTGAAGTGCAACAAGGAGACGAGCCCAGGGCTCTGTGAACTTTACCTGCCCCAGTCACAGGAGAGAGGGGCAGCTGTTTCTCAGGCAAAATACAGGAGCAACATGTGCTCTTCCACAGGAGCACTGAACACAATCCCAATCCAGGAAAGAATGGCAGCTTAAACAGATCTGGAAACAATCATCATATTCTACAAAACCTTTGAATTATTAAATATGTAGCAATTCACTGCCTTTGTCATGATTACAGATGTGCTCTTATATATTTTCTTGAGTGTATTTTAATAGTAAAGCTGAGGTAATTTTTTTTTCATAAGCTAGGGCCTAATGCCCTTAAACTTGTTTCTCATCTCACCCTTGTTTGGGGTTACTAATGCTACAGCCACCTGGTCCTGTGTAGCTATCAGAAGTAGCTAATGAACCTTCTTAGCTTCACCTGACTCAGCTGGTGAAGGATCAGCATTACAAATACAAGCACTGACACAGGCTCAGGAAAATGACAGCAAGACAAAACTACTGTACAGTACGTGGCCCCCATCAGATCATGAGCAGATCAGGAGGTGTGGGCCACTTCTGATTATATTAAACCTGTTTTCATGCTAACACCAAGTGATTCATTCCTCTTTACTAAATAAAATACTAATGTATTTCTACCTGTCAGCATTATAAAGAATAAAATATGTTTAACAGAACAAGTCTTCCTGGGGCTTTAAGGACTGTTCTCAGAGGTAAATGGATCAGAGCAAGTGTGACACATTGGCCCATCCTCTCATACCCTACAGCTCTGCGCCAATTCATCACACTTCTCATTACCAGGTCTCAAAACCACTTAATCTTATGTAATGCCAGAAACAAAAGCATTAAAAGCAAGGTTTTAAAGCACTTTGCTCTGAATGGCCTTTCTGTAATTCAGAAAAATGAAGTAGTCACATGGAGTGGGGGAGCAATTCCAATCATGATGATGGGATAACTGACAACACTCACCGTAGTTGAGACATGGGAAAGGCAGCTCAGTGCCCAGGGCAGAGGCAGAAGTCTGGCAGAGACTCGACCTTACTGCAGGAGAACCACCTGTAGCACTGGCTCAGAGGCAGCAGGAGCTCCAGCTCAGGCCATCAAACACACCCTGAAGGGAAGTTCCTGTCACCTGCCTCAGAATCTCTCCTCCAAAAGTCACCAGGAGCTGCCCTGTGCAGGAACTGCAGAATGAGAGCAGGTAGCTTTGGGGAGCTGAGACCAGCTCATGCCCACAGGTCTGCCAGTGCTCCCCTACCCTTATTAATTCAATCTGCACTCTGCTGAACCTGGAGATAGAAAAATGAATTCAGATCACTTTTCAGAACAACTCTGTATGCTGAGATTCATTCCAAGCTACCTAGACCATAGAAACCTTGACAATACTGAGAAGTCCCTTTAAAAGAAATATACCCACAGAAAACCCCAGGAGTTACACAAGGAACATTCAAGCTTCAAATCACATTCAGAGTCAAGAGGGGGGGATATGACACCTATGCTTGTGTTTTAAGTGCTAGAAGTGATCATTCTAACTGCAGAAACTACTTTCTTGCTGCTTAAACAGAATTAAGTACAGTTCTTACAAGGGGATCATCTCGTTCTGACAGGCTTGCTTTTGACACTAGTGAAAGGGCCAAGGAATTTCTTGAGCCCTCTCCTCTCATAACACATTGCTTTGAGACTACCGGGCTTTTTGCTACCACCATGGTTGTGCAGACTGGAAGCGTGATTTACACACACACACCCCGTATTTGTGCCCTCTCCCACTGCAGTCCTCCAGGTGTTGAAGGCAAAAAAACAACTCACTTGGCCACAGTTTCACCCCCAAAATTGGAGATAATTTATTAAATTTTATCACTGACTGAAAAAGTCACTAACATCTCTTATAATAAGTTAATATTCTTAACAGAAAAACCCCAAGCCGTAATTACTGCATTTGCTCAGACTTAATACATTTACTTTTACAGTACGGTACTCAATAAGTTCCCCTTCACAGAAGGGAGTTTTCAACCACACCACAAGCCTCTGAATCTTCCCCACTGCTCACTCAGACAAAATAAACTCCCTGGATGGCAATTTAGCAGTCCAACATCCCCCTCCTCTCCAGATTACAGCAGAAGTGTTCTTCAGCTTTGTTGCCTGCAACAGCTTCACAGCAGGCAACGCGCAGCATTAAAACCAGAGCCTAAAGTGTTCTTTAGACATGCTGTAGGAGCAGAGAAAGCAACCTGGGCAGCAAGAGGCTCCTCTAAACCACAAGGGCTGTGTGGACACAGGCAGGGCAAATATGACACTTGACAGAGTGCTGCGATTGCACGCGTGGATGCAACTCACCCAGGGCCTCCTGTAAGGGAGGACTGCAGAGCTCTGCTCACTCTGGTGACCCTGCATTCATTGCTTCTCCTTGATCCCACAAACTGTCTCTGTGATTCAGTTCTAAGAGAATAACAGAAATTCAAGTCCTCAAACAAAACAAAACTAAAAAAATAAAAGTGTCCAGGAGGACAGCATAGAAATGTGAATATCCTTCCTGTTTCCATAACCACCCGATTAGCTCACCCGATCAACTCTTACCTTAGCACACAGAACACCCTTCACTCGCTATGTGTTTCAGCTTCTAAATTATTAGTGCTCACGTGAGGGAACAAATAATTCCAGAAACTTGCAGCCAAATCACCATCCTGGATATAAGACAGCCTCCAGAGAGGCTCCCCTTAGAGGGCATCTTAAAGCTGCGTGGTGGCTCCTCCTCCTCAACTAAGGACTCTTAGCAGCCAACACGAGAGCTCTGCAGGATTTCCAAGCAGGAATCAGTGTCCTAAATTCATCTGTTTTGAACTTTTTGAGGAGAATCCTTAGCTGTCCGCCTTTCGTGCCTGCTTCCACAGCCCCAGCCCTGCCACCAATATGCACAAAGAAATCAGCAAGCAAGATTCAGAATTAAGAAACCTGTGCGCTTGACCACGCGTACTCCCTGCTACCAGAAACACCTCTTGCTTCTCCACTCACCAGCGGCAGGGAGGACATTTCACAGAGCTGAAGAGTGAGTCCACTGCACACCTTGGAAGGGAACTGCAGCCTTCAGCAAGGAGCATGGCAGACCCACTCACAGCAGCACTTGTGACACACTGGAAGCACACAGCTCTTTGGTCATTAACAGCAGTCAAAGCCACCAGTATCACACCTCCAACCTGTAAAAATAAATTCTCAAGCCAGACAGCTGCCCAAACCTTGCAGAAGCTGGCCCAGCCCACCCGTCCACACAACCAGAAAGAGAAACCAAGTTGTTTCGTTACTCAGCAATGTCTTTATCATCCTCCTGCTTCTCTTCTTCATCCTCTTCCGTTTCTGTTTTAATCTGGGCCACTCCGAGCCGGTAGAGAGCATCCCGAATCACCACCTCCCCCGGCTGGCAGCTCTGCACGATCTCCTGGATCTGCCGATTCACGATTTCCCTGCTGGTGAGGAAGTCCATGAGGCGGTTGTAGAGGTAATAATGCGTGGCATTCTCAAAGGTGATGGGCCTTTGGCGGACGTTGCTAGTTTTGCTGTCACTGATGGCGGCAATGATGGCGCTGTAAGGCTCCAGCTCCCGGCACAGGGAGATGCAGTGGTGCTGAGATGTTGGATCTTGGTGACTGTTCTGCTCCGAACCGGCGTGAACAATTCGGCGTGCTGCTGACTTGGTGATTGGGTGCTGAACGGAGTGCTCAGCCACAGTCATGTCTACGCTGTAGTGCTGGTCTAACAGCTCAGGGCAGGACACGTACTGGGAGAGAGAGAGAGATGCACACCAGGTAGAACAACCACCACCTTCCCCACAGTTAAGAAGCACAACATAAAACCACTCTTCAGCTCAACTCCAACCAGATCTACAACTTGGGACAGGGGGAGGGCCAAGTCATGCTTCCCCTGCATGCCACAAAGGTGGTTCTATACAATCCCTTCCCCGCCCTTTTGCTCTCAGAGATAATCCCAGGGCACTAGCAACTCTCTTCCCCTCCCATTTCTCAAGAAATAGCAGCAGTTTGAGAGGAGGTGCTGGGACAAAATAAGCTACATGCTCCAAAATTCATGAGTTGAACTGCTGCAGTGCATTTCCAGCACAGCTCTCCCCATTAAAGAGTGCGAACCTAATACAACACAATAAACACAACACTTTCAGCTCTGCTCAGGAGCTATGCACCTGCAAAGCTACGAGTCATGACTTAGGTGGACACAACTAACCATTGGAGGATCCATAGGGTCAGAGAAGCAGCCCTGGTTTTTGCCCCACATCTGGGAAGCCAGGTCAGGATAGCAGATGTCTGCACACAGCGCCACCGAAGAGGCCGTATCGACAACATACACTGGAGGCCAATGACGTGAGGAAACCAACAGGTCCACGTGATCCCGTGCGCTTTCTCCTCTTACTATGTACTTTGAGCCACACACAACCTGGAAAGAAAGGGATTAGTGCCACACAGAACAAAAGAAACTAGGAAAAATAAATTCAGCTTCCTATCAGGTATTCCAGACAATGCAGTGACCAGACAACCACTTTTTCTAAAGATATTATTTCCTCATCAAACACATCACTTCATCTTGTGCAGAACTTCCCCTCAGCAGCAGCATCAGACACAGGTTTCAGATCCCTAGTCATTATTGAGATATCTTGCAAGACTGCTCGCACTCCAAGCCCCCAAGGTAGCATGTTTCATCCAGGGCTCAGAGAGACCCACCCCACCTGTTTCTGTTTCAGTTGATAGTGAATAGCAAAGTAAGAAGGACCACTGCTGACCCCTGCCCTTCTCACCTGATGCGGGCACACTTTGTAGACTTTGCCTCCTGTGTGATGAGCAGAAGCTTGTTTGATGCTTGTCCCGTTCTGGACAAAGCTGTAGAGAGCCAGGAGGGAGTAACAGAGCTGTTTCTAGAAAAGACAGGCCCCAGAGAAAGTCAGTACATGACAAACTAACGGACTCTTCAAAAGAGGGAGCAGGCTGCAGGCAAGATCTTCCAAATCTTAACTTGCACATTGTCCAATAACCTCCTAATCCCACAGTCAGCACGAGGTTGACAAGCAATTACCCGATATGGACAAGGTAATTACAGGCCTCCTTTTTTTTCCAGCCTACAGAAGTTCAATTTCTTTCACAATGTGTTAGTAATCCTATGATCTGCAGGCGCTCATTTCTAACTCACTCCTGCCCCAGTACAGTCAGATGAGAAGTTTATTATCTAGCATGACAAGTGTAAACTAAGGGAAGATAGTGACAAACAGTTCCATTCCTAAATAGTGGTGTGTGGGTAAACAAGCCGTTACCTTTGTATCTGAAGCCTCCCAGGGGATGTCACACTGTGTCAAAAAGCTCTGCAGCTCTTCCTCGCTGTAGGAAGTTTATCATCTCGAGCCTCAAGTTTTCTTCCTGAAGTAGCCTCACCAAGGCACTCCCATTACCTACAAAGGCAGGAAACAAGTCTAAGCATTTGTTCTCAGGAAGGGAAGTCACCAAAGTAATTTCTTTGGAAGACTGCAGAAGCCACGGCCCATACTTTGCTCTAACCCTTGCTAGTGAGGTTGCCTCCAAGCAGACTGAGCCCAGCACAACTAGGGGCTCAACGAGCACTTGCTCAGCCTGTTGCTTGTAACCTTTAACTAATTGGTTGAACTGATGTGAGTATAAACAAGTGACAGCAGATCACAGAGAAGCGTGACTGCTGCTTTTGGACTGAGCAGCTCCACGCTTGCCATTCACATCTCCTCCCTGGTTCTCTCTCTGTAGCTCCACTCCCACGAAAGCCCACGTAGCCCTTCTGCAGCTCAGCTCTCTACAGACAGCAGTAACCCTGGCTGCAAAGCCAACTCAGTCTTGTTAAACATACAAAGCCAGTTTTCTTCTCACAAATTTCAGAATGCCTAATACCTAAAATGCTAAGGGAACCGGGTGCTGACTGAATTTAGATCTTGTTCATCTGAGCTTATTCATCTCAGGGCTTCTTGTTACATGCAGTCCATGCCCTGAATATACTGAATGCTGACTACACTGATCAGGACTAACACATCCATCTCCTAGGCTTTTTTCACATCCTGCTGGAGACTTATTCCCCTTCTGAGACTGAGATATCAAGCACTGCCTACAGCTTTTACAACAGCAAGAATCAGTCTAACATGAAACCATACTGACTGGCATTCAAGTTGTGTTTGTTTCCTTGCATTTAGACCATGTTACTTCATTCAGGGTGCAGTGTTCTCATGTCCCCCATATTTCAAATGCATCAGAGCACAGCAGTGTATTCAATTCACTTTGCAGGTCAAAGCTCAAGCTGCTCAGTATCCTGAGAACAGGTGGACTGCTCCCAGCAATCTTCTCTTACTTCAGCAGACATACCTTTTATAGAGTCATACAGCTCTAAACATCACCAAAATACTCAAGTCATCACCACATCAAATAGTTCTTAATAAGTACCGCAGCAATTACCTGGCACTGGCTGCGCATTCAGGTTCTTGTCCTTCTCAGAATTGACCACCACTGCTCCTCTCATCAGTGGAGGGAAGAAAGGAGCAACAATAGAGGCATCAAACTTTGTGATGGGGATACTAGAAGGAAAAGCCACCTGCTCAATCACTTCTGTCTCCATTGTGGACCAGAAGTCTTCCACATTCACTTCACTTGATGCCAAGAATTCTGGCCAAGTAAACTAGAAAGAGCAAGAAACGCACTGGTCAAACACAAATAACCATAGCTCATTTGAGATTTTTTTTTTTAATCAGGCTCACTCAAAACACAAGGACTACCCAGAACTGTGCTCAACCCAAGTACAACAGGATGACATCAGGCTCCTTTTCTGTCTTGGAGTTCCCCACAATCACTTTTCTTTGCGTGAAAGTCCAAACCAGTTATTTGACATAAAAGCCAGACGTGCTACATACTACTACTAGGGCATTTTTCACCATTAGGGAAAACAGCACCTCAAGGAAACTGCTGTTGGGAGAAAAAAAAAAAAAAAAAAAGGAAGAAAGATTCCTTCATATCAAAGGAAGAATGCCAAGTCCTGCAAAATTCATCAAAGATTCCTACTATCAGAGGCTACTGGACCAAAGCTGTGGTCCAGAGACAGAAGATCTTGTTTTCCCCAAACACCTCTAAGAGGAAGTACAGGCATCACCACTCCAGCCACATCCTCTTGTCAAGCATCAGCAGAAAACTGGTCACAAAGGCTTCGTGTAATTATCATGCATTACAAAGACCAGACTCAGCAGAAGTCGTTACAATCTGCTTTGAACAGGATGCAACGTTTGTGAAAAGCTTACCTCTATGTTTTTCAATGCCAGGACATTTTCCACATTCCTCTGGGCTATCTCCACCTTGGGGGTTATGCCACAGATTCCACAGATCATGTCATTGTAATCCCGGACAGTGAGGCACTCAAAGGCCCAGTAGCCATTGCACAGCAGTTCCTGGAGCTGAGCCTGCTCATCAGAGCTCAGGCTTTTTTCTGAAAGGAGAACATGCCACTGTTACAGCTTTCACTTCCTAAAGGCAGCAGAGAGGTAGCAGAACCTCTCCTATGCAGAATAAAAACAAACCTGTCCTCCAGAGAATTGCTACAGAGAACTGGTCACAGAGGTACTGTTGGGTTTAGGAAGTGATTTAACAGAAACACACCACACCAGGAGAGGCGGGTTTTCCCTTTTTACAACCTAACAATCATTAGCAGGTCACAAAGTTTGGTGTGTTATGGTTAGAAAAAAAAAAAAAAAAAGAGGGAAAACCCACCAGTTTGCTCCTGAACGGAGTTCAGAATATTGCCAACAGCCACTCCGGGATCCTCTCCAAGTTTAATGTGGTTTCGGATTGCAAACAGAAGATCCAGGCTCACTAGCAACTTGTTGCCCACATTAAAAAGGCCTGCAGTTAAAACAAGACAGTCATTGTCTGTCGGGTTCCAGATATTCCTCACAACGAAACATATTCCTTTCTTAATGATATGCAAAACACTTTGATGAGTACAGTTCAGAGGATCAATGAAAACAGCTCAAAACAGCTTATGTGACTATTCCCTTTGCACATTAGCATGAGTAAATTCTTTTCTAGTCTTGTCTTTAAATTAAAAAAGCTACAAGGAACAACAGCCAATCTATCTCCTTGGCTCCATGCTGCCTTGCAGGAAGCCCACAGTGACTGCTGCTCAGCTCTCACCAGTCAATGCTAACAAATAAAGCACTGCAGAGATGTCTTTGACTATGAACTCAGGGACTGCCTCACAGAACCCAACATTTAACACTTAGACAGAAGAGACCTACAACAATGAAGCAGTGTATGGTGCTCCTCAGAGTATTCACACATTTTCCCCACACATATAGGTTTACTTACGGAAACTGCAGAATAATTAAAGTAAAAAATAATTCAAGTTTAATACAGTGGAGTATGCAAGAGAGTTTTCTGTGCAATGACAATGTCCTGATACAGTCCCACTGCTTCTGAAGGGTTTAGTCTGTACTCATGCTGTAATTTGGTACGCTCACTTTTCCCTACCTGTATAAATATCCATGAAGCTATGGAGGGCCAGACACTGCAGGTTCAAGCACACTTTGACCTGAGCTGTAACCACCTGTAACCTATTCGCTGTCAGCAGCCAGCACTCCTGAGGACCAGCAAGAGAACTGTAACAGACAAGCAAAAGACAGCTCAGAGTTAAGCCAACAGATTTTTCAGTCCAGGACTGCAGTAACTTAAGTTGTTCTAGTTCAGATCAGTTGGTTAGTATGTCAGTCTAAGCCAGTTCACATCAATTCACAACACAAAAAAAAAACTACATTTTTGAATGGATTCCTGGGACAGTCAGGTCACTGTTCACGTTCTTTTAACAGCACTACAGGATCACCCCAGCTCCACGTATTGAGTGCACTAGGATTTGAGAGGTGAAGAAAAGCTACAGCCTCAGCTGTCATGAGAGCAGCATCAGCCCTGCTGCTGTAGAGCAGCAAACAGTGACTAGTAACATGCTCTGCCCAAGTCTGTCCCAGCACACACAGATACTGAAAGGCCACCTCCCTTACAATAAGGCTGCCAAGGGGGAAGTTCAGACAGGAAAATGCCAGATGTGCCCTGGTAGCAGAAAGGTTAACTGTCCACCCGAGAAAATGGGAATTAAATCCAAAGCTAGTTCCTTCCCACTGGCAACAGCTTAATTAGAGCCTATGCAGGCACATGTGGGAGTCCTGCACTCAGAGCACTGCAGAGCAGAGCAGCACAGAAGTGAGGATTTACAATGCACAGTTTGGAAGTGATAAAGTCAGGGACAGGGTACAACATGGCACTCACCTGCAAAAATGGCTACAAATAAAAAGCATTTCTGCTAGAAGATTCTCAGTTAGTACTAGCATGACCAAATCAAACACCCATAACTGGTACCAAGAAAATCTTTTTGGTTCCAGAAAAGAGAAACACAGTAGTAAACTACATGACATTTTGTTTTGGAAATGTTTGAGCTCAGGCTTTAGGCAAGAGGAAGATATTTGGCAGACTCAGTGAGGAAACATCCTATGGGCTTTTACACAAAATTAGGTAAAGTAATCCAGCCTGTACACTAGTAGTCTCTGAGAATCTTTCAGGTTTCAATTTGGGTATAGGTTCCAGAAAGTATTCACTCAAGCCCACGCTAAACCATAAAAAGAATGAAAACATCATAAGCAATAAGATCCACACAGCAAACATTCAGATTGGGAAGAGGAAAAAAAGAAATCACACAACACACATCTCTAATCCCACAATTTTGCCTGTCAGCCTCAAAAACATCAGAATAGAAAACAAAGAGGGGATGACTAATGAAGACTCCATTTCAAAGAAAAAATTACATCTAGACTTAGCAGCTAGTCTTTGATCAAGCTCTCCTGCTGTACGGAAATGGTAACTATGACAAACTAAACAGTACAAGAGAAACAGAAACTGCTCACAGCTATCAAGCTACGCCTTTTCCAAAGACACGTAGCTTGTTCGCTGCCAGTTACACCAGCTTCAATATTGGAGCTAAACTAAGTATTATTTCAGGCATTCTTGTAACACAGAGTATCAGCACAAGGGTGAAAGAGTCACAAGTCTAAAACAGAATCTTACTTCTGTCCCCCTTTGAACAATGGGCTGTTACAGAGGAGGCACTGCGCAGATGGAGACTCATAGTAGTTTGACCAGGAGGTCTGCTCTATGGTGACCGTCTCCTCACTCACGTTGGACAGGATGAGCCGTGAGCTGTTCAGTTCGTGGATGAGCGTGAAGACCTCGGCCAGTTCTGATTCATTCTCAGGGATCTGCATTACTTTGCGCAGCAACTGCAGGGTGGATTGGCGCTGGATCTCTTTCTGGGATGGGGTTAAGGGCTCGCTGGTGTTCAGCACATCAGACTGGCCTGGACTGACCTCCTAGAGAGTAAACAAAACATATTCCCAATGAGGCATGTGTGGGGATGAAATATAAAGAAGTCCAGAAAAGTCACAAGAGGTAGGAGAATCACAGTAACCTTTGTACCCAGTAGGCTTGACTTCTACTTTTCTGCTCCATCAGTGATCGCAGGCAGTAGCTTCAAGCCTAAGCTACTTTACCTGAAATTATTCATTACAGCCCAGTCTTTCCAGGAACTCCAATTATGTTGCTAAACCACCCACAGACTTATCACTGTACTGGATTGTTATTGCAGGCATTGAGGATTAGGAAGGGGAGGACAACCATCAACAGGCACACAAACATTTCAATACACTCAGCAACCTATGGAGAAAGGCAGCTGACAATTATCAGGCACATTCTCCTATACACCATGCTCAGACAGCCATGGCAGCCTGCATAACTCTCCAGGAACTAGAACAGACAAGTGTTAAACTAGAACTGGGGGTTGCAATGCATGGAATACACAGATCGATTACAATTGATCAGCCACAGTTTCGTACAGGTGCACACGCATGGGAGAATTGAACTCAAAGTGACTCAGAAGAACAGAGAGAACACAAACAGACTCAGCTGTTTGATCACATAAACCCTTCTGCTAACATTTCAACCCATTTTTCTGTCCAGTCTAGCAATGAGATAAACAATCAGTCCAAAAGCAGAGACAACAACAAACTGTGTGATAGGAATGTTAAGCACAACTAAAACAAGAAAATTAAAAAAAAAAGAGGAAGAGACAAGCCACATGCCTCTCAGAATGTCAGAATGCAAGCTGAGCTAAGCGTACTGCTGTTCCCTACACATCTGCTTACATGAGGATTTCACACAGGCTATTTCAGTTTATTTTTTGCTTTATGTTTTTAATATACAAAGTTATGTACTTCAAAATATTTTTTTTTAAATCAAGCAACAGAGTAAAACTACTGCACAGACTACAATGCAGTTGTCTGTTTATATGCTGAGTGTGCATTCCAGCTAAGAACAGGACAGCTTTTTCTTTTTTTTTTTTTTCTTAAATGGCAAGACAATTCTGTACAAGAAAAGCTAAACTTTGAAATTTTGGGAAAAAAAAAAAAAAAGATTACCTCAGAAGCAAACAAAACAAACTCCACAACACACTATTTATATCCAAGTACAAGAGCAGAAGAAATCTTGAACAACATCGTTCTACAACAGAATGAAAATACTACATCCAGAAATAAATTCAGCCTGGAAGTAAGTTGCACTACAAACCCCTAAAAATAGGAAGCTCGAATACAAGATGTACTAACTGAGTTGACATTTGCCACAAACTGGTCACAAAGCAGAGCATGCTTGGGAGTTTTTTGATGAAGTCTGAAGTTCCACAAAGCTGACACAACAAATGTGACTTTAGGGGTGATTTCCCCAGCATGCAGTAACACACCGTAAGCATTTTTAAGCTACAGAGACATCCAGTGGTAGAACTGAGTGTTGTCTGTCTCACTATGAGCCTGAAACATCACTATTGCAGAAGCTGAACAGTAAAAACATCACCACGAGTATTTTCAGTACGACATTATTGTTAGGAACAGACTTACCATAATGGAAAAAGAAAATTAACATGTTCCCATGGGAACTTGAAAACTAAGATACTTCCCCTCCCACTCCACAATGTTGGTTTGAAAAACAAACTACTCTGAAGCTTACCAGGGATTTTGCTGTTTTCTCAGCTCTGTCTTTGGCAAGATTGTAGCCACAGCTTGGACAGATTCGTGGCTTGTGCCTGTTTGTGTACACATAACTACAAGAGGGGTTCTTGCATTTCCCTCTGCCACGTGACGTTGCCAGTCCCAAATCCTGGAATGACACAAAAATGATGTTTGTTAACCGTGACTTTTACATACTAACAAGACTGTACAATAGTCTGCTTGAATATTATATGCTTTTCTCCAGTTTATAACACTTAGAGTAAAGGTTAAATAGCAGGCCCTATTGCTTTGTACGTAACATTTGAACCAGTACCCAAATGTTTTGAGACAAATCCCAGAGACCACAGACACTCCACACAACAAACACTGAACCTCCCCACCTAACTCAAGGGGGCGATGCAAATTACGCCAGAGTATGAAGAAAAATCCATTTCTTAACACGGTCCCAAACTTGATTGCAACATGGCACAGACAGCCCAGATTAGGTCAACAGATGACATATACAGCACAAATGCTCATGTTAAATACAGGATAATGTTTTTGCAAGTCAGTAAAACAAAAGCCACAGAACAACCTCATCCCAGAGATGACAACCCCACAGCGCAACTCAGACCATCTGACAAATTCTCACCAAAGTTACAGTGCAGCTGTACTTGTAGGAAGGGAACACATCTGGCTTGACCTCCACTACTTTAACCTGCGATGCACTGTTGGGCAAAGTGCTGTGAAGCTAGAGATTGAAAGCAGAAGACAAAAAGAAAAAAAAAGAACACCTATGAGACACATACTACTGAATACACACATCCTGTAAGCAAATACCTATTAGCATTTTCTTCCCCCCAGGAAATCTGGTAATGTTCATTTAATATCGGGGGACTACAACATGCTGTTCTGCATACTAGGGTTTTAAAATTCTGGTAGAAGTATTCCAGCATCTTAGCAAGCTTTGCTTCCTACTCAATCATCTTTCACAGGGAAAACGGAGTCCCTCAGTAGCCAGTATTACATGTCAGATTCCCAAACCACCACCAGATCCTCAAATGTCTTTTGGAAGTAACCAGGTTTTCAAAGCAGCTGGACGAAGGTCTGTCCACCAGCATCTCTCAGCCAAGTTCCTACTCTTGACCATCCAGCATTCACACTGCTTCAGAGCCATCTCATAAAAACTGTTGGTCACAACTTCCATCATCATAAGGGTGCTACATTCTCATATTCTATTCCTCAACATCCAGCTCATACCCCTCATTTGGGGAAAATAATCCCAAGGAAAGAATTGTGCATTTGAGAAACAAGCCATAGATACCTTTTGCTCCTCAGCACTTGGTGGCTGCAGAACTGCCTGACCCAATTGTTTCAGCGTACTGGGCTTCAAGCCTGACGTTCTCACAGGGGGATGCTTGTCTTGAAGAAAGAAAAGAACGCAGCAGGTTAGGTAAGAAAAAACAAGTCCTGTTTTCTTCTTCTTCAGTAAATGAAACCAGAGTCACAGATTTTTTTTCCTCTGAACTTGAAGTGACACAAGCAGGTGTTTCACATCCCATTCACCTGCCCTTCTGGTTAGAAAGAAATCATGGGTGCTTGTTGTTTGGTTTTTTTTTAAACCTAGGATAGCTCACTATCTCCTTTCAGACACATCTTATTACTTGACAAAGACCACTTCAATATAGAGAGGAAAGACAACCACTCCCAAAGCATACCAGAGAACCAGTATTTTTACCAGTATTTGCAAACGCCTGTCTCTTGCTAGCCTGCTCAGTGCTGGCTTCTCTCCCCACGCTGGCTGGTGCGGGCAGAATTGCTCGCATGGGCCTTGCTGCAGCCAGCAAGGAGGGCTTCGGTCTTGGTTTACTCTTTACTTCTTGCCCTTTGTGTGCAGCAGCTGGAGCATCAATTCTAAAAGACAAGAGCTACAATTGGAAAGAAATTCCATGGTTTCCCTCTCACCCTCAATTTTCTCCTCTCTCCTGTGCTTTATTAGCGCAATAATCATAGCTATTGCAGTAGAAAGGAGAAATAATGCTAAAGATACATCTGCCCTGTGACTACCACAACAATTTCATTGTCACTTTAAAAAAAATAACTTTGATGGGCAAAACCATTTCAAAAGAACAATCTTGAAGTGGCAGAAAGCAGACAGGACACAGAAGGTCTTGCACAAAGCACTGCCAACAGCCTTCAATTTCTTGGATTAGTTCCATCAGTACACATCAGACATCATACACCTCTGTAACTCACCCCACTGGCTTTTTTGCAGAGGTATTTGGACTCAGCACCTCAGAAGACGGTGGCACTCCCAGCCCTACACTGTCTTTTTCTGCCTGCTCTGTAGAAGAGTCTCCTTGTGGCTGGCTCTCTTGACCAACCCTTCCTCCTGCAGCAGTCCCTCTGTCTTCAGCAAGCACACTGTTGGCAAGAATGTGAGCCTCAGAGACGATCACTTCCTCCCACTCCGTCTCCTGCATCTGCCCTCCAGCAGGCACAGCATTCAGCAGCTGGCTGACCGCTTCAGAGCTTTCCAGGGCAGACTTCGAGGTGCTCTCACAAACAGCTGCCGGTTCTGTGAGCACCGACTGCTGACCTCTTTTGGTTGCTGGAGTTTTCAGAGAAGTGCCTGAATTCGGCTCAGATTTGACTTTTGGTTGCTTTTCCTGGAAACAAGAAGACGAGCACATTTCAGAGGTTTAAGCTTTCACAGGTAAGTAAGTTCTGTTCACATTGCCTGGTTTGCCATGGCCTATTCAATATTGGATCAAAAGACCAAAATCCTGAGTGTTTAAGCAATGGATTGCACGTGAGAGCAGAAATATCTTCTACAACTGGAAAGACCTTGATAACATTTTATTTAACCTCCTGACAGCTTTACATTGAAAAGTCAGTCTTCCTTAAACTCTCTTAAATATCACCATCAGTGCCAGCATCACAATCTCATCCACCACCCTCTGGAACAAGGGCCCAACTCCTACACTTCCCTTTCCTACCTTCAGCTCTCTGATGCTGTCTGTTCTTCCATGCTAGTGAGGAACCAAAGGGAGCTAGATACAGAACTTGCATCTTTTGGATTAAATTGCAGCGTAGTGCAAAGGGGTGTAGGAGCACTCAGAAAAGCATTAATCTGAGGGAGCCAGGAAATACAGAATTACTCAGGAAGGTTTTTCAGCTTTAAGCTAAGTTTTACCTTCAAGACTAAGGCTACAGGAGCTTTGTACTGAGGTCAGTAAAGGTAAGGTGGAGCACTGAGCTGGTAATACACAAATGCTATCAGAGAAGCAGTTAAGAGCTTCTGGCGTGATAAACACACGGATTCTAAGCTTTCTCAGGAGTTTATGCTCAGCAGAATATTCTAGGTTTCTAAAAACAGACATCTAACGTAATCCCATTTTAAGGAACAGGAAGGTATGTATGTACTTAGTTTCAGTCCTACTGATGTTACTACCAGTAAAAAAAACACTGTTGCATGTTTTTCTCCAAGGCATGACACCATAAGAATAAACGGAACTGTTTATGCAAGCATGTTCCCAGAAGAGCAGCATATAACTGTAAGACAGAAGGAAAACGTTCCCCCTAGAATGTTTCATTTCAAATCAGTGTGAGATTTAACAGAGCAGGCATGCCATATTCAGGCAGAAACACCTTTTTGCAGCTAGCCATCCATCTACTTCAGCAGGTTTCCAGCACAAAAGATGTTGTTGCTGTTTGTATCCCAGCACATAGTAAGCTCTGCCATCAGGTCAGACTCTACAGTTTGCGTGCTGAGAAAGTTCTTTCCCCTAAATGCTTAATGAATCTAGACACATCGGTTCAGGACAAATGCACACACAATCACTGAAATTTTAACAGCCAGAACAAGTTTTCACACTGAGAACATCCTTTAATTTGGGCCTGAGGGGCCGTGTTGCAGATAAATTTCATGAACACATCCGTTCAGAGCTCAGTTAATTACCTTTACATTGCCAAGGTTTAAGGAGCAACTACTTGTTGTGCATAGCTAGTGGAGATTCCAGTAACTTAAGTGGAGTGGGCATCACGTGGATAAAAACTTTTCAATTCAACAACCATGTCCACAACTACACCAACCTCCTGAAATCTCCTTTTAAAGGTCAGAACATCAAGAATGATCAGACAGCCACGAACCATCAATACCTGACATTTCAACTCCCACTAGACCAGCTATCGTATGGCTCCCAAATGATCACACACCTACCATTGCTCAGATTTATTGTTTCTTTCTGTTGATAAAACCATGTTGAAATTCCACCACAAAAATCTCAATTTGTAGAATAACTTCAAACACAGGCCTAGAAATATCACAGACATTCATAAAAACAGCACTTTTTGTCTGAAGAGAACAAGAAGGAAAAGCGAGTTTACCTTCGGGATCCATTTCCCTCCCAGGAAGTTCCCACATGCTGGGCATTTTGGTGGCTTATGTCTGGTGACATAAGTGAAGGAGCAGCCAGGGTTGGTACAATTCCCGTGTCCCCTGCGAGTATAGGTGGTTGTCTGAAACAAGAGTTGTCAAGAATTTTTCCAGCTCTGTAGAGAGAACACCAAGCTGTGCTCATCGCTGCCTTGTTCCCCGGTGAGCACTTCACAAACATTATCTAGCAACTCTGCCAGCCCTTTGCTATTATTCATTTTACTGATCAGCCAGCACACAGCTGTATCAGTGACTCAGCGCCGCAGTTAACGCTGAATTTAAGCGTTCAGTCTGTACACAAACCTTCAGTATTACCAGAATTTGGATCAAATTGCACAGCAGAGATGAACAACGCACAAAACCTCCAGGAGAAGCTGACCTTATGCTTTCCATGACGTTAAGAGCTCTCTTATGAATTTGAGTCTTAATAAGACAATGTAAGAATGATTCAAACAGCAGTCCACAGAGAGGCAACGTGCAATTAATACATTCATGTCAGTGACAATATTTGAAGACAAACACTCATGATATGGAGGTATTTTTCATCAGCAAGGTAATTTGTTGTTCTATATACTGGTAAAATACTCCCTGGTGCTTTCCCGTAACTACCTATAAACTGCTGCAACAGCAGCAGCACCAGCAGCCACTGCTCCTAAAGACAACTGAACCAGTCTTTGCCAGGACTGCTGCACCTACACACAGCATTTTTGTCCACACAGCACTTCTCAAAATTCTGTACCCGCCACTCCTGAGGGAGCTGTTGTGCCATAAGTCCCTTGCTAGGACTGGTTTTCCTAGAAACACAAGTGTTACTGTTAAGGAAAAGACAACTTTAGCTAGGTTCTTCTCAGGAACAAAAACCCGATGCATCTCCATCCTCCCTAAGACACCAGGGCAAATATTAGGCTAGGTACCCCTATAAATACCTGCAGTGTTCCACCAGCTGGAAGCATAGAGAACACAGAAAACAGGACTTCATGCGACCTTACGCACCACAAGGAGCTGCTGTGCTGACTGCACGGTGAAGTCTCACAATGATTACAGACATACAGGTGGTCAGAGCAGTGAGATTAGAGAAATAACAGCACTGCTCCTCGTGCAACAAGCCACATGAACTTTTCTCCAGGGATTCTCAAAATCTTAGGTTACTGCTCCCCTCCCATCACGTGGGGATAGTGACAGCCACCACATGACCGGGGAGTTCACGTGTTCCTGTCACAAGAGCAGATTCTTGCCCTCGAAGGGATAGACACCGGCATTTTATGAAACAGATATGCCTCCGAGTAGAGGCCATACAAGGCTACACAGACCTTGAAAAAGGCAACAAAGGAACTGCTGTTAGCCAGGGGGGTTGTGATAGCGTTATGCACTCCCACCTGCTTCCAAGAACTCACTTAGGGAGAAGGCAGCAGGAATATAAATCGAAGACCTCCCTTAGCATACACAAGGCATAAAGGCAGGGACAAGAAATGTATCAACTGATGTTATCGTTTCATATCGGGCTACCTTCAAGAACTGGACCATGATCAAACCCTTCCCTACTCTACTATCTTTAAGACAGCCCTATGGTAACACAAGCATATCTTGAGATACCACAAGACTGAATTTCTTACCAATTTAATTGATGTTGGGTTCTCCACAACGGAATGAGCTGGTAAAGGTACCATAATGAACTGTGTAGCAGGTGTGGAGGAGGTGCTCTCTTCCGTATCCTAAAATGAAGGGAAATTACATGTAAAAAACAAGACACAAAGCAGCCCGTGTCCCACCCTTTCACGAACGCTGCTGTTGAGCATGTATCTTGAGGACTGCTGAGACCAGAAAGTAGAGCGGTTGTTTCAAAAGCCTTACCAGGCCTGCTCTGGAAATCATCAAACTCTTCTCAACCTGAACCTGAAAACAGCAGACCCAAAACTTCATAGCATAACGTTTAGGTAACAAACCCCTAACACCTCAACTTAAAACTCCCTTCTGTCTGCAGCCAAGAAAACAGCTCTGAGAAGCACAGAGGTAATGTAATTCTTCACCCCAAAATCTTGTAGTCCAACTGTGGAAGCCACCCCAGTTATTGTTAAAAGAAGAAGTAGTTTTTAAAGATTCTAGGAGTCATCTTAAGACATAAGTGATGACAGCATACAGCAGAGAATCTGGAGGCAGAGACGCAGCAATCACCAATATAAAAAAGCTGCTGTCTGCCACACTACTGCACAGCACCTCCTGCAGCTACCTGAGAATCTCCAGAAAAACACGTTAAGCAGCAGTCAGACATCTCTCAGGAGAAGCTGACAGGATTCCGAGGGTCCCTAGGGTAACTCACCCTCCCGGTCACCACGGTCACCACAGACACACCATCTGAGACCTGGGGACGGGCCACAGCGATGCTCCCATTGGAGATGTCCGTGGAGCTGCTAACTAGAGTCTCTTCAATAACGACCCGAGTCGTCTGGTAGGGCTGCCCTTCTACTTCCAAAGAAGCCTCATCCAGGAGGACATCTCCAGCCACTTTATCTGTCACGGGCCCAACGTAGTGAGAGAGAACCTCCGACGCCACCACTTCTTCCACAGCCTCTGCCTGAGCAAAGGAAGCCGTCTCTTCTGACAGTCCTTCGATGGCGATGCACTGCTCGGAAATGCCAAGGTGGCTCGAGTCCACAGAAAGGATGTTCTGCACAGCATCACGGGGGACGTTTGCGATATTGGGGGAAGCTGTCAAGCCTTTGGGCGCTGCCTGACCCTGCGTCACACACAGTTCCAGTGGCTGCCGGCTCCGGTCCTCCTGAAGAGTGGTTTTGGGAATAATTACAACATTTGAACGAGGACGAATCTTACGGAAACCTGGAATGTCTGGAACTACTGCAGTCTGAGTGGACACCTTGGAGTTCTGTTGGGAAGAACAGAGCATGGAAAACATGAAAGAGGGAAAAGGGAGTCAGTTCTCAGTCCTGCCTTTCAGTATTTTAGATCTTAAAGCTCAGATGGCTTCCTGAAGTAGTCTGCCAGGAAGTTCTCCACATGACAGCCCGCAGTCCCTCTCAGCGCTGCTTTTATCACCCACTTTACCGCCCATCACCCTGATGACATGACACAAAAACCTCCTGTTCTCATCAGCAGATACCAGACATCTCCCTCCAGAATTTCAAAACACGATCCCCTGATTGAACAGAAGGGAAAAGAAAGAAATCCACTGCCTCACATGCTGCTTCTGCTCAGGTGGTCATAAAATAGAAACACAAACTGGAATCTGCAGCTAAACGACTCTCCCATGGCCAGTGCTGTGTGAGCAGTTAAGTGCTCCAGCTACCAGCCTCTCCCTCTCTTTACATGACAAAGAACTGCAGGAAAGGAGACTTACCGGGTCCAGTCCCTCTTTCTCTAGCTTGGCTTTCTCCAAATAATAGCTTTTATCAGCCACGCTGAGCAGCCTCCAGCTCTCGCTGATCTTTTTGTTGATTTCGGATTGAGGGAGGTGGGGCAGCTCTTGCTGTACTTTCAAGTAAATGTCATAGTAGTACAAGAGGTAAGCGGATCTGAAACACAACCAGCAACAAGCATTAATGGCATTCTACAGCAGCCCCTTTGGAAAAAGAACTTCCTAAGATTTACACTGGTCTCAAGGACAAATTATAAGCATGTTATGTTCACTTCTATTTGCAAAGGCATTTTTTAAACCAAGTAAAAACTAAGATTTTGAAGAGAACCTCTGCAGTGAGGAGAAAGAGCCTAAGGGAAATTGTTCTAGAGGGCAGAGAGATCAAGCACAGATCAAGCACTGTTAGCACTCAAAGGCACGCCAGAGTGAGCCCAAAGCGTAAGGCTATGTTTTTTTGTGTTTTCTATGCTATTAAGTGTTCCACATGTACTACAAAGTTTATTCTTATAAACTGAAGGGAGAAAAATTGCCCCCACACTCAAGACAGAAAACAAACAAAGGCAGAAAGAACTCACCTGGGCTTTTTGGCTTTTTCTCCATGATCACCGGGGCTTTTGTATTTCTTCTTCTTCTTGGAAGGCACGGGCGACGCGTAGGTGTAGGCGCCCTCTATTTCCTCCATCACCACGGTTACCTCGGTGCCATCGTAGGGAGCCTCCATTGCTGGGAGCACACAGCAAGCACACACCTCGTGTTATGTTTGTGCAGCTTTATGGAAACCTCTCCCCCTCCCTACAGTCTGCTCCTCTCCACCCCTCGTAAACTAACAGCAGTTCTCACAGGCCTGACTTTAACCAGCCCAGAGATCTGCGAGCTGCCTCATTATTTAATTTTGAGAAGAAAACACCCATTTTAGCGTGACTTTTACACCGCGCTGTGAGCGCACCGAAGGGCTGCAGCGCCTCAGGAAGCCCTGAAGGCACCTGTGGCCATGCCAGGGCCGCCTCACCTCGCCCCGCTGCCCCCCGCCAGGCCCCGGGGAGCGCTGAGGGAAGCGGCGGGGCCCCCACAGCGGCCCCTGGGATCCCCCCCCCGGGCCCCACCGGGGCCAGGCCGGTGCTCACCGGGCGGCGGCGGTCACATCGCAGCCGGGGGAGCGGGAGGAGGCGGCGGGGCTGCGGGCAGGCGGCGGGGAGGGCCGGGAGGGCCCCGCATGGTGGGGCCGGGAGCGGGGCCTGGGCCCGGGCCGGGAGCGGGGGCGAGGCGAGGCCGCACCGGGCCCTCAGCGGCCTCCCGCCGCCACCGGAAGTGCTGCCGGGAACCGCTTCCGGCTGGCGGAGAGGCGGCGGGGCTAAGCCGCCTGCCCGGAGAAGGGCGGAAGATGGTGGGAGAGGGAGGGACGGTGGCTGGGAGGGGACAAGGTTGTTAAGGAAAAGGACTGTGGAGGAAAACGCGTTGTGGAAAATGAGGGCTGGGTGGCTGCCACGTGCAGCTGGAAGGGATGAGTGTGCACAAGCAGCACCCCATGGGCTTGTTTGGTGACACCAGTCAGGCTGGTGAGGCTGTCCGCAGCCGTTCTCCAAGCACCACACATCACGAGCAGCGCCATGTTGCATTCCCCAATGGCACCGAGCAGGCCGCCTGCAGCCCCTCATGAGCACCTCGCGTCCCTCTCCCTCCTGGTTCTCCACAAGCAGTGCCCAGAGCTGCCCCCTTCCCCTCCTGTAACGGGGAGGCACCAGGGCACAGCGCTGCCCCTTGTTTCCCCGGCCTCCCAACACCCTTGGTCCCACTCCCATCCCCAGCCACAGGGCAAGTGAGGTGGCAACCCAAAATTCAGACCCACCCGAACGGCCCCAAAAGCACAATGCCAAGGCGGTGGTTGGTCCAGAGCCAGCCGGTGGTGAAGACTTTCCTGGCACGAAGCGTGGTGTCACCCCAAGTGCAGCCAACCCAAACGCCAAGGGGATCTCCGAGTCCCAGCGCTTCTCCAACATTTGTCTCTCAGTTCTGAAGAACAAAAGTTGCCATACAAAACACACTACATGTTTTCTTGCTGTTCACAAGCACTGAAAATTAGCATTTTGCTCTCCGGGGAACAAACAGCCTTATAGGGCTATATACACGTAGCCAATTCTTTGAACCCTCTGGAAAGCGGGGTATCGTGCAGCTATTACTTTAACACGTTTTTTAAATTACACATTTTGGCTTTTTTTCTATTCATGTCTATTTCTGTGTTTTACATCATGAGTTCTAACTTTAGAGAAATGTAAACCACATCTATCTTCTGCCTTCTCAGATCTCAGAGAAGCAGAATAAGGGCTCCTCTTGTCTAGTAAGTCATTAGCAAAACCCACAAAGTAGTGATATGACAGCCAGTATTAAATCTGCAACCAGTTATTTATTCTCCTGAAGTTCTGCAGCCGTTTATGTGGTCTGCTTGTGTTTATGCACAGATAATTGGTGCAAACTGTCTGTTCTGCGTCAAGCCCTATGCAGCTTAATCCAGACCATGTATGTTTCCAAAGCTCCGTATTTTATCCAGATCAATATGCGACTCCTAGAATTTTGTTGGAATTGTTACCTAGCCAAATGTTTGGAAGAAAAGGCTGATTGGCTTCACAGGACTAATGAACTGGAAAAAAAAAATAATTTGAGAGAAAAAAAAAGGGGGGGGGGGAGAAAGAAAAAAAAAAAAAAAAAGGAAAGCAGCCCCTGCTTCCCTCGTTTTTCACAGAGGAGCTTCTCACTGCATGAACATTGTCCATTGTGTCAGAAACTCAAGCTGTTTCCTTACTTGGGCATTTTGACTCTTCCATGGACACACTGCTTTATCTCAGAAAAGCGATATTAGCAGCGTGTAAATTAATTTAACTCTTCTGTAATAGTATTCGGAGGAACAAAGGAAGCTGCTGAACAGCAATATCTGTTGTAAGCCCGAGGAGTGTTGCAAAGGAGCGCCTGCTGCTTCAGGAGGGAAGCATTGCTTTGCTCTCAGGATGCTCTGAGCACCGTTGCCTTGCAAAAGAAAACACTGGAGATTAAACAGGGCTCTCCCCCTTCGTTTTGCTGATAAAGTACAAGGGCCACTTTGAAGGAGTTCAAAAGACAACTGCTGACCTACAGCAGGTACCAGCATTTGTTTCTGAATTGACTTCAGAGAGACTTGACTTCAGAGTCTGCTTAAATAAATGAGATATCGTAGCAGATTATTATTACTGTCAACCATCCAGACCTCCCTCTTCTGTGAAGCCTTGCAAGGCTCAATCCTGTCTCCTGTTCAATCAACATCATGTCGTTCAGGTACAGTGGGGCCAGCGCGCCTTTTCCCAGTGAGTGGCATTCAATTGGACATCATCTCTGCATTAGCCCTCAAGCAGAAATGCTTTCCAAGATAGTGACCATGGGGTTATGCAGCCATTTGAGCACAAACGCACGCTGAACTAGTTCAGCCATGGCTCTGCACACATCTGCTGTAGCTCCCATCTCACTGCCACTCATGGTTTTTGTGCTGACCATAACTGCAACGACATGACAGAGCAGCAGTCGGAGTAATGGAGACAAAGAGTGAGCATCAGTCTGCCTGCAGAAGGTTAAAGGAGCCCATTTTCCCTCATAAATGTGGCAATTAAAATGTTACTATTTTTAAAAAGGTACCAGTGTAAAAGCACAAAGGGATTTGTTATATTTCTGATGAATTCTGGTATGTTTGGGAACTGTTTGCAAGAACAAACACCAGGGATCTCAGAAATGTTAACATTTGCAAAGTTTCTAATTATATACACAAGTTTCTGGCTCTTAAATGTGGCTGCCTTTGTTGTATTGAACAGGTAACTCACAGCACAAAATTATCAAACAAGAAAAGAGACCAAAAGTGGTACATTTGGTTTAAATTAGGTAGCAAAAAGTATTTTCTTGTTTTATCCATAATGAAATAACTGTTAAATTGAGAGAGTTATTGTACCAACCTCTCATTTAGTCTTGCAGGATCATAAAAATTTCAATTTCTCAGCTAGGTTGCTATAGCCTCACATAGTGCTCAGGGTTCCTGTATTTTTTAAAGCAGGATCCGCCTCTCTTCTTTGAAATGGCTTTGGTTTCCAAGTCGCCATTTAACCAAATCTATTCAACCATAGTCAAACTAGCACATATTTTACAATAAGTGAAATGCATTTCTTTCAAAGGGGTTATATAAAACATTTTCAAGACTTCCATTTAAATTTTCCTAAACAATAAAATAGGAACAATGCTTCACATTACTTCTCTATTCTAGTTATTTCAGTAAAATTGTTACCAAGGCTTAGAGGCGCCCTTCATATTTCAAAGTAAAATATGATCTCTGTCCATTTTTCTATCAAATGAGGTATGAAAATATTATATGTTAGGTGATGAAAATAATAAAAGCTATGAGAAGAAGCACAGTTAAAAAGACTAATACTGTCTAGAGGGTTTATGAAGAAACCTAGCTGAGGTTGTGATACATTTGTGTAAGATAATGAACAGCACAAAGAAGGCTAGTCAGACATTCCTGTTCCTTCTTTATTACAGTTAAAGGAAAAGGGGAAGCTTTTGAAATTCAAATGAAAATTGAAATTTTTAATTCCGTTCAGATTTGGAAAGTGAAATTGAAGGGTAACCATTCACAACCATCATGAAGAAATGCCTCCAGCTTTGCTGCCGTTTCGTCACAGAGGAGCACGATACCTCTGCAGGTATCCAAAAACCAGTACAGCTTCATATGGAGAAGGCAGCCATCTAGGAAACTGCGTCAGGATAAACAAATAAAATGACTTCCTGTTTAAGAATAAGCTCACCACTATTTAAAAGACTAGGAAGAGTTCCCCAAAGCCACACAGTACCACAAGAGTACTTTTCAGAGAGTGGAATACAGTGTTGGTGGCGATTAGAGGCAGAGTTGTGACTATGACACTGTCTCTGTAGGGCCTTGAATATTTCTTTAAATAAACTTTTTTATTCTACTCATTTCTTTCCCCAGGAACATTGAGAATAGTGTGTCCTTGTCCCTGGTTTTGCTGGCATTCTTCCTGGAGAACCAAAAAAAAAAAAAAAAAAAAAAAAAAAAAGATGCCGCCTACCACTTCAAGAAATGGATTCTGAGTTGTGTTGCGTTCACTGCTTGCTCCCAAAACACCCGGTGGAGCCCTGACACCCTGCACATTCACGACAGCATCCAGGCCCCAGCAGAACTGCAGAATTAGCCGTGCAGAAAGCAGATCAGCTCCGTCCAGAGCAGGACTGCCAGCCAGGACAGGGCAGGCTGCGCAGGCACAGCAGCAATGTGCTCTGACAGCAGCCGTGCCCATGCGAGAGGAGGGAGTCGTTAAATTCGGGGTCGTAAATGAGAGTAGGAGACAGAGCCGGCACAGGGCCTGACAGCTCATCCCCCAGAAGGCACATGAATTCTGTCCTTCTTGCAATTTGCAGCTGTGAAGTGTTATTATTTTCCAGTATTCACGCTGTGCTGCTCTCTCTGACAGGACGCATTGCCTTATATTTTTACAATTTAGTTAAGTAGCATGTAACACTTTGCCGAAATTAGTCAAGATAACTGCCTCCATTCTTTACTGAACATGGTAATGAGTTTGATCCATGTTGGTTTTTTGTCTGTTTTTTTTTTTTCTTTTTTTTTTTTTTTTTTCTCTCTGAGCAAAGTGTTTGCCCAGATCCTTTCACAGCTTGTAAAGTACAGAAATGGGTTTCACTGAGTGGTAAATACATTCATTAGGGAGGAGCTGCCACTTACAAAGTCATCACCTTGGGAAATTAGTGTCCTTGGTGCCGAGCCTGTTAAATGTGATAAGCTTGACTTGGCCTATGTGGTCCATGAAGGAAAAGCTACTTGAAGACTTGGCATTTGCGGCTGCAGCTCTAATGTGGCACTTTAGCAGCAAAAGTAGTGAAACTTACCCTACAGCAGTAATTAAATATGTCATGCGAGGCAGGTAAACACTGCTTCTCACTCCCCATTTTAAGGATGAAAAAAAAAAGAAACACTAAAAGATGAAGAAGATTATCTGAAGATCAGTATCCCATGGTCCTACTGAATTTGCTCACTGGTTGACACATAGTTGATTCTAACCCTATCTCAGTTTTTTGGGGGGATTGGGAAGGAACCAATCCCAGATTAACCACCATATAATAATTAAATTTGTAGACTTTCTCCACCTATGTCCTACAGCTTTCAGCAACGCTGCATCTCTGAGAGTTCAGAACAATATGTGACATGTAGGATGTCCTAAAATATTCCCAGCCCACGACTGGTGAGCTGGACAGACATCTATTCCTGTCCCTGTGGAACCACAGC